CATCAGAGAGCTGGTCTGTGATGTAGTGACCCAGATACTTAGTTTTGGAACAAACATCTAACTTTTGCCCTGATAGAAAAAAATCAGGGAAACAGAGTTGTTTGTCGGCTTTAGTTCTACAAACTAGTACAACAGTTTTCTTAGCATTATACTGCACATCAAATCTCAACCCATAATCAGAGCAGATATTCAATAACTGCTGAAAACCAGCACTACTGGGTGAGAGAACAGCCAGGTCATCAGCATACATAAAGTGATTGACCAAAGTATCACCAATCATACACCCGGTTTTACAGAGGTTCATTTCTTTTGATAGGTCATCCATATACAAGTTAAACAGGGCAGGTGAAAGAAGCCCACCCTGCCGCACACCATTACTAACACCAAAGGAAGCAGAGATGTTATTTCCCCATTTTACATGCATTTTCTGGTTAGAGTACCAGTAAACTAAAATTTGTATAATAATATCTGAAACACCTCTTTTTTTTTATTTGTCAAATAACTTATTGTGATCAACACGATCAAAGGCCTTAGAGGCATCAATAAACCCAAGTAACACAGATGAATTTTTCCTTAAGTATGTTCTTACAGCTTCTTTCAGGCCGTAAATACAGAAATCCGTTCCCAGCTTGGCTTTAAAACCAAATTGATTATCTGTTGTACTAATAAACTGATTAAGCCGACCAAGCAAAATTTTTTCTAATACTTTAGATAACACACTAGCCAAAGCTATGGGTCTGTAGTTATCAAGGCTGCCAACCTTATTAGTTTTGTCCTTAATTACTGGCACAAGGGTAACAGATAGTAAGGAATCAGGCAACTGCCCATGGGTCAAAAACCCAGAAAAACACATTGCAAGCAGCACAGACACTTTTTGGCTAGCATATTCAAATGTTCTGCTGCAATGCCATCAGAACCTGTTGCTTATTCTCACACAAATTTACTATAGCCTGCTGAATTTCACTAGGGGTTATTATAACCACATCATTCTTAGCAATGTTTCCCAGTCCATAGGGTTCATTTTGTACACAGTTAAATAAGGCAGAATAGTGCTGTCTCCATAGATCAGCTATATTATGAGCCCCAGATATGCCCTCTATGGTATTGGGGAGTAATGCAGCAGACCTGTTTAAGGCTCTAACATCATTCCAAATAATTTTCAAATATTAAATGATTTCTGTTGTGACCAGTTACTCGGTATTTGAGTAAGCTTAATACTTTTTTGAGTAAAAACCTGTTGAAGTATTGCTGTTCTTACTCGAGTACAATGTTTGGTTACTCCACCCACCTCTGATTATCAACTGTCCTTATTGGTCTGTAATGTGCAAAGTGCTCAGTCGTGTTTGTTTCACGTTAGGCTGGAGATGCGGCCTGTTTCTATGACATCAGGTTGGGCCGCAGGCGGGTGGAGCACCACGACCACGCCGTCGTCAGCGGGAGGCTTGCAGGAGAGAACATGACAGGAGCCAACAAACCTTATTGGCATCAGTCTATGTTTTGGTGGGTTAATTATAGACGTTTTAAAACTTTTTAGTTGCAATTTTTAATAATAACTTAGGAGTAAACTTGAAAACTCTTTAGTTCTTCCCTTTGAGGTGGATGTAAAGCAGTTTTGTTCGGTTCCACAGGAGCGACCTGGGACCTGATGTCGGCTATGAAGCTATTGGGATTGTTGACAGCAGCCTGCCAACTGTAGGAGTGTTTGCCAAAGCTACTGCCAAGGACACACCCAAAGCTGCTACTGAGGAGTCAGGTAAGCGTGCTCAGTGTTTTAATATTCTTAATGACCCATATTTTGTTTTTTTTTCTTGCTGACGTGTTGCATTGGGTTTGTGTAAAATGTCTAGACATTTGCAGCATAGAAAACTGTTTATTTTCTATGCTTTCCGATCTCTTCATACATATATGAAGAGATAGTATATGGAAATACTAAAATTTTCTGAGACACACAAATCATGTAGATGATCAGAATATAACAAGCAAACAAAAGCTGCAATTTTGTTTAAGACCTATTGTCTTAGAATAAAAAAGAAAAGAAATAGCCTGTGTCTCAAATGGGGGGAATTCAAGAGAGGTGGGCATTTATTGTGTCGTTTATCATTTATTGTGACATTTTTCTTATAAGAATTTTGATTTATTGTTGTCACAATACATTTCAGTTATTGATTGAATAATTAAAAACACTGTTAGTTGATTGTGTTATAAAATGGCATTATGTGGCTGGAAAATACATAATACTGAACCTTTAAAACAAATAAAAGTGGAAAAAGAATTACTATGTTGATTCTAATTGAATTCAACCTAAAATCTGACACTGATAAAATAAAATTTTTCAAAAAAAGACTCAAGTTGAAGCTTTCTCTATGAATGTGCTCCAGGTACCGGGATTCGCTCAGAAAGCGAAACGGAGGACACGGCTTCCAGCACGGTGGTCCCGGCGGCGCCGGCTCCCGTCGTCGATCACAGGGACGAATACGGGAAAGGAGTCATCTTCTACCTGAGAGAGAAGGTGGTGGTGGGGATCATCCTGTGGAACGTGTTTAACAGGATGCCCATCGCAAGAAAGGTACCGCTCGTGAGTCATGGCAGAATTAAAACACATGACGCATTTACTGACAGCCGTTTTGTGTGGGGAAAATTGTAGATCATCAAGGACGGAGAGGAGCATGCGGATCTGAACGAGGTGGCCAAGCTGTTCAACATCCATGAGGACTGAGCCGCTGGACAGTTGCAGTCAGGGGAGAGAGAGTTTATCTTCATAATGAATAATGAACTGTGGCAGTGATCGCCTCCTTCATTAAGACACAACCACTCATGGCTACCAAATTATCACTGCAAAAAACACAAAATCTTAAGGTTTTTTGTATAGTTCCTATTTCAGATATCTTGGTACACACAACATGAGACTAAACTAACTTACAAGCAGCATATAGGAGCTTTTTTGAAAATAAAAACATTTTAATATTGATTATAAAAGTACTAGTTTCATTATTATTTCACTTGTAACACTGGTAAAAATATCTTACGAGTAAAATAATCTGGTGGAATTAGCACTTTTTCCATGTATATTAGTGATTTTTCATTATTATTTAAAACAAGCTCTCTTGCAGAAAAGTTACTTGTAAGTTAATTTAGTCTTATCTGAAGTGTCAAATATTTGCACTAGAAACTAGATCAGAAAACTTGGTAAGATTTTGTATTTTACAGTGTGAGGATCAATGTATATTAAACTGTGGATATTTTCATATTTGGGATTTGTATCTGCTGTCTTAATTATGTTTGTTTTGATTTTTTGGGTTTATTGCCACATGACAACTCTCTGTCTTGTTTTCAACCCGCCATTACTTGTGATCGGCCCCTTCTCCTCCGCTTCCTCCCGTCATTCACAAAGCTGAACTGTTCTCCGTCTGTGTGATCGGTGCAGCTTGTTGTGAGAAAAGCTGCAATAAAAGCTATTTTTAAATCGGACTCAACCCATTATTTTCAGCTCTGCCTCCAGATAATGGCAGTGATGAGCAGCTGCAGTGACCTCTATTCGAAGCTGTGATTGTTTAGACGGTTGTTGCAGTCAGTGAGGTTGAACTCATCTGTCCCGAGGAGTTAGAATCATTCCCAGTTGCTTGGCAGATTGCGACTCGAAACGATGGAGAGGGCGAACGAGGAATGTCTCGGCTCGGTTAAAAATACTTTTTTTTTTTTTTTTTTGGTGAATTAGGAGAGTGGGTAATTTTTTTAAAAAGTGACGCTTTATGAGTGTGTTTTACATCGTGTTGAAGTTCATATTAAGTCAGTCCAGTGTCCAACTCCCAACAAACTGACACCAGAATAAAGCTTGGCCTAGTTTTCCCATCTTGTCCAGGGGTAAAAATGAGCAAGCAGGCAGAAATGTTTCCCCCTCTTCTTCTTTTTTTCCCCCTTTCTCCCACTTTGGGCTTCTTGTGTTTTTTCGATGGCTCTCGTGCTTCGTTTTCTCACACATCCTTGATCTCATTTGACACTGTAGGCTCCAGAACGAAATGCACAAGGAGCTTTCAAGTGTGAGGCAAACGCGTGCGGCTGTAACGTCCCATCGCGTTGCCTGATTGTAATTTTACATGAGTAAAGTGGCTGGAACCGCCGCCTTCTCCTCTCCTCAGCACGAGCTTCAGCATCTGGCTTTAAATTTTCCTGCAAAAAAAAAAAAAAAAAGATGAGTAAACCGGATACTACGGACAAATGCGGGAGAAATAAATGGATGTATGCTTGAGCTGAAACAATGATTCACCGGAGTTATTTGGAAAACAAATGTTTAGCATTCATCATCAATGTTGCAATCCATAGGTTAATTTGTGGAAGATTGATTTTATGTAAAGTCTTAAAAAATAGTCCTTTTGTGATTTTTTTTTCCTTTTTTTCCCCAAAAACTTTTCTGGGTTTTATTGGAGGGAATCTGAATCAACTACTTCATATTTGCTAAATATATAAATTATTTTTAGAATTTATTAACATTCCGCATGCAAGTTGGGCAAAGTTAAATGCTGCACAGTAATTCACAAGAGTACAACAAATGTTTAATTTTTTAATATAGACATTGTTTAAAGTTCAGATAATAATATAGTTGCTGCATGGTTATCTAAAGTAGTAATTTTTTTTATTTATAATTCATGGACCCTTTAGGTGTGTACAATTCAATGGTTGCCTAAGACTTAAAAAAAATCTAAATTATTTATTTTATTCTTTGATGCTGTCAATTTTATTTCAAATCTGTAGATAAACTGTAACCTGGGTACTGTATTAGTATTTGAAAATTATGGACTGAACGTTTCAATAACTTAAAATATTTTGCAATAAATTTTATCCCCTGATTTAATTTAATTCTTCTCATGTGACCAGAATCTTGATCATTTCCAAATTTAAGAAGACGCAGCGTGGCGCCAGGCTGCTCCGAAACCCGCACTGTTCCTTTAAATACTCTTGCAGCAATTCTTTCAGCAATCACATGGCCGTGAAAAAGAGTTCAAGCTTGAAGTCATCCACACAAACAGAGGAGGAAGAAGAAAAAAAATTCCCTTAAATTATACAGCAGCAGCAGCTTCCTGTACTTTACACCTGCTCTGAGGGAGAGAGGCTGATCTGTTGGCCGGATCAGCCCAGTTAGGACATCCACAAGAAGAAGGAGGAAGTTTCCTGCATTTTTCTGTTACTCCCTTTTCAGCTTTTCTTCTCTTTTGCTTTTTTCTCGCTTCATCTGCTTCATCCGGTGCTCAGGAATGCTTCTCAGCAACTGGTGCGATTTTTGGGCTTGCTTTGTCATTTTTCTACAAGCCAGGTAAGAAAAGCTTTGCGTTAATGTTTCAGTTGCCTTTCGGGTTGGTGCATTTACTGGAGTGTGTGCCTACTACTGCGTTTAATGCGGTTTGACAAGATGATGACGATTGCCTCTCAGACAGAGAGAGGCTTGTCAACAGTTCTGTTTACTCACAGAGGAAGCTCGAGTTGAATATTTTATGATCCCCAATTAGGACAAATGTTTTCCAAAGTAAACACCATGTAGAATGTCTGCTTCCCTATAGAAACAGACCAAAAAGAAATTTAAGATTTTGGTTGGTAAACTAATCCAAGTGTGTATTTTATATATATATATATATATATATATATATATATATATATATATATATATATATATATATATATATATATATATATATATATATACACACTGGCTCTTGGAAAGTCTAAAATGTAAACATCGGGAATATATAAGCATTTATAGATTTTATGGTTGTTGTTTATATATATATAAAAATTCCCTTCTCACCCACCGCGGGTGGTTCTTATCCTCTGAGCTCGGGTCCTCTACCAGAGGCCTGGGAGCTTGAGGGTCCTGCAGTATCTTGGCTGTGCCAAGGACTGCACATTTCTGGACTGAGATGTCTGATGTTGTTCCTGGGATCTGTTGTAGCCACTGCTCCAGTTTGGGGGTTACTGCCCCGAGGGCCCCAATGACCACAGGCACCACTGTGGTCTTCACCTTCCAGGCCCTCTCCAGTTCTTCCCTGAGGCCCTGGTATTTCTCCAGTTTCTCGTGCCTTTTTCCTGATGTTGCAATCACTTGGTATTGCTACATCTACCACAACGGCTTTCCTCTGATGTTTATCCACTAAGACAATGTCTGGTTGGTTCGCCATTACCATTTTGTCTGTCTGGATCTGGAAGTCCCACAGGATCTTAGCTCTGGTGTTCTCCACCACCTTTGGGGGTGTTCCCACTTTGATCTTGGGGTTTCCAGTCCATATTCTGCACAGATGTTTCTGTACACTATGCCTGCCACTTGGTTATGTCGCTCCATGTACGCTTTCCCTGCCAGTATCTTGCACCCTGCTGTGATGTGCTGGACTGTCTCAGGTATATATAGACTTTCCAAGAGGCAGTTTTTAGGATGACGTGAGAAGTGAAAGATCCCTCGTGTCCCTTGGAGTTCTGCCCCAAACAAGTGTGAGGAGCGCAAACAGAGAAAGTAGTTCCCTGCCATGAAAACGTCTCTTTCAAGTCAAACTGGACGTGACTAGACTTGAGGCTGGAGCGGGTCCACTGTTCTTCAGACTGTCCTGTCACCTGCCAGATCCGTGCTCTGTAAGGAGATGAAGCTCCCCAGCAGAGCGCTCCGGCCTCCCTCTCCGTCCGACTTCCTGGACAAACTGATGGGGCGGACATCCGGCTACGACGCCCGCATCAGACCCAACTTCAAAGGTAAGTGCTCTGCGGGCGAGGGAGGCTTTTCCTCCTTCACCGTGGCTTGTGACTGCTCTCCCCTCTGACCCACAGCCTCCAGTTCGGACTCTCTCCTCTCCTCCGTCACGTTTTTTTCCCGACACAAGTCCTTGCGCGCTGCGTTGCCCCACAGGCCCGTTTCAGTCCAGTCCTGAGCAGCGCACGCTGAGTGAAGCCGGCAGATTCCCTCTGACATGCTTCGCCTTCAGCCTCCGGGGTCGAGATTCACATTTATTATTTCATGCTCGCGCCGCATCCCCTCCTTCATCCCCCATCCCTATCCACAGTGCATGCTGGGTAAATCTCCCACCGATTAGCTATAAATACACTAATGTGACTAAAGCAGAATCAATAAATCATTGCATCTGGAAAAGAGCGGTTGAAATATTCATCCCGTCACAAGTGGGCCGCGGATGGATCGCAGGGACGGTTCAGTCCCGTAACGCGGCCCCGGGATGCTGCTTTGGAGGAAAGCTGTGCTTCTGGCGATTTCGTGTCCTCTGCTTTTGACCACAGTGTTTGTTTGCTTCTGCCAGGTCCTCCCGTCAATGTCACCTGCAACATCTTCATCAACAGCTTTGGCTCCATCACTGAAACAACCATGGTGAGTCGTTTCTGTTTTCCTCCTGCACTTGTTTCCGTTCAGACTCAGACTCCCGTGAACGCACCAGGGTTTCAGGCGAGAGCGAGGCCCTTTAAAGTTTCATCTGTGAAATCAATATTTGTTTTGTTCTTGCACAAAAAGAACCGTCTTGTTTTCATAAGGTATGCAAGGTGGGCTTGTTAAAAAAATAAAAATAAATAAACATTTTTGCTTCATCAAAAGGAAGACAGTTTACGATTGTTGTGTTTTGTTCATTTTGAATTTTTTACTCTATTCTTTGTAGGCTTAGCTAAGTTTGATGTTGTTTGTGGTCCCATTTACTGTAAAATTAGAATAAAACGTTATACCACTTATACCAAACATTTTTCATTTGATGAAAATGCATTTCTTTTTTCCTGTGTGGATCCTGCTGTAAAAAGTTATTTGGCTTTTTCTGGTGGCCAGATTTGTGTTATTCCAAGGGCCGCCATCAGGTAGTACATCGGACACCCTTCTCCTAAACATACATCTCATGGGATGGATGAAGCCCTAGCCACGACCCCATTTCACAAATAAAAGATGAGTCCATACCAGAAAGCCAACAAATGCCACAAAATGACCTACAGGTTGTTGAATGTTCAGACAGAATGATGCCAGACAACTGGCGATGTCTGCAACTTGGTGAGGGACATTAATCCAAATATTAGTGAAGGTGGTTGTTTATTCTTGAATTAATGCACATAACAAAAAAAAACTGTTATAAAGTTAAACTTGTACGTACAATTCTTGATTAAAAAAATACTGAAGTTATAAAAAGTGTCATCCATCCACCTCCAAACACTTAGGAGAGACGATGTTTTGAATAAACCCTGAAAAACTCACGTCAACAACTTGCATGTGTGCAATGAACATCTGAGTAAACTTCTGTTCGGAACCCAGAGAAATTCTACTCTACAAATCCATCAACATACAGTAAACTACACATTATAGTGACATTTTTACTCAGAGATACATTTGCGCATAAATTTGCAAGCACAGCGCTTTGTTTTTAAGTGTGCTCCCCCCCAAAAAATATATTTTTAAATTAAGTTTGGTATATGAATGAAGACAAGGGTTTAAAAAAATCTATTTTATTCCACAGAACTTAAAAAGAAATCTTGTTCTCTTTAGATAACATGTAAAACTCTGTTTTAGCTTTACACGTTGCTTTCCATTAAATATATATCTAACATGTTGTAAGACACTGAGTCTAGGTTTTATTTGGAAAGAACTACAAGTTCTGAGACAATATTTTTTTAGTTGGTATTTTACTTTCCAACACGGAGTCACATTGGTTACCTCTGAGCAGAATCTTAAGTTCACTGGACAACTTTGGATTCTTTCTTTTTACCATTTGTATGCACAAGGTCTCTGTCACACAGGAACGCATTAATAATTTATTAGGTGTATGCAAGCGTCTTGAGATGACCGCATGTGCTAATTTATTCAAGCTTAGAGTAAAAAACTTTGTGCAGAAAATACCTTTAAGCAAAGCCTGAAAAATTTAGGCTGAAACAGTAAGTGCACTCAGTTTAAGAGCACTTAGGTTTGTTTGTTGGTGTTTAGGACAGTTTTCACACTGACAGTTTGTGCGATAAAGATTTTCTTTTTCAGTTTTCATAGTGCTCTTGTTACACCTGTGCAAGACATAAAAAGGTTTGAATTTCATTCAAAATTTACAGTGCTACTTTGAAGCTTTCCCCGTTTCGTCATGTCACAATCGCAAACTTCTCTGTGAGAATGAAGAATTAATATAAGAATTGTTTTGTGATCGACCAGCACAAAGTAGCACAGGGTGCACATGTGAATATCTATGTGCAGATAGAAAGTCGCATGTGGTTTCCAATTTTTATTTCAGAAACAAAATTCAGAAAAGTGTTGCATTCAGCTCCCCTGAGTCAATACTTTGTAGATAGAGAACAACTGTAAACAGCAGTTTTTTTTTTTTTTTTTTTTTTTTTATTTTGCCACAGATTCTCTGTTAGATTTTGAGCTGGACTTTGACTGGACCATTCAACTGAATATGATTTGGCTCTTTGCATCTTCCACCTTGGCTCTTATAAACTAACAAAAAAAGGCAAAGAAGCAACTGAAGTTTTCAAAAATAGATATAAAAACAAATGGATTCGGAGTTTTTATTAATTAATTTATTTTTTTGTGTGGAATGATTTTGTCTAATTTCAGCAACAGAATGACATTAAAAGTAGAAGTCTCTTTTTATTAGATGTGTTTTTCTTGTTAATATTGCTCTGGCTGTTTATCTTATAGTGGTTAGGTTTATGTAGAACGGCTCTGTGAAAAATTCAAAGTTTGGGATATTACTAACATGCTAAGAGATGTATTAATACTGCTGATGTACAAAGATGGACTCTAACTGATTATGTGATTTTTGAAGGCATTTATTTAGGCCTACCATACAAAATGGGGTTAGATATAAATAGTTGCTTTGCTTTGCAGATATTTTGTAATAAAAATGTAAAAAAAAAAAAAACATGCATAATTTTCCTTATATTTCACAGTTAATCAAAATAAAATAGATTGAAGCTTGTTTCCGTAAAATGTGAAAACGTTTAAGGAGTGTAGCTAAATAAATATGTCTACAACATGCTGTAGGTTTTGCACTGCCAGTTTTGCTGCATTTCTCGACTACTTTCATATCTGATTTCTACCATTAGGACTACCGGCTAAATGTGTTTCTACGGCAGCAGTGGAATGACCCCCGACTCGCCTACAAGGAGTATCCGGACGACTCCCTGGACTTAGACCCCTCAATGCTGGACTCCATCTGGAAACCCGACCTATTCTTTGCAAACGAAAAGGGAGCAAACTTCCACGAAGTGACGACCGACAACAAACTGCTTCGGATATTCCAGGATGGAAACGTCCTCTATAGCATCAGGTTATATTTGGCTTTTTTTGTTGTTTTTTTTCCTTCCCTCATTTCAAATCTGAACATGAGCCTCTGCCTCCCGCGGTTTTAATCAAAACCTCTGAGAATGCTGCACGGCTTGCGAGAGGATTTTCTCACCCCAGTTCAGTTCATTAGTAATTGTACTGTCCAGGGCACTACATGAGCAAGTTCATGTCAAACTGTAACCGTGGGCAAAGTAAATCAGGTCAGTAAAGAGCCGCTGAAGCAGTGGTGAAACGTAGCGTAATGGTACTGAGATATAATTAGAACAACAGACACGAGGGGCGTTGTCTGAAGCTCCGTCAGCGCCTCCAAGAGACATCAGCTTTCCTGCTGGTTTCTGAACTTCTCATGCAACCTTTGAACTTGAAACATAAACCTAAACCTAACAAAATAAAAAGTAATGATATGTTTATTGCCCTGTTCATTCGTGGTCATTTTCATGTGACTCGTGTACAATGAAGTCAAAATAAAAACGGCAAATTCCGTGGACTGGAAAGAAAGAACGACTGTTTGTTGCAAGAGTTGGGTTGTCACCCTTTTTGTTGCTTAAACCGTTCTAACATTTTTGCTGCTTTTTGACTTCTAGGCTGACGCTCACGCTCTCCTGCCCCATGGATCTGAAGAACTTCCCCATGGATAGCCAGACATGCATAATGCAGCTGGAGAGCTGTGAGTTCATCCTTCATGGCAGACGGAACCAGAAATTGTGTGTAGATTTGGCCAGTGAACTTGTTGCTCACTGTGCAGCTTCTCCGTGTTTCCTAGTTGGCTACACCATGAACGACCTTATTTTTGAGTGGCTGGATGTCGGAGCGGTGCAGGTGGCCGATGACCTGACGCTCCCCCAGTTTGTGCTGAAAGAGGAGAAAGGTCTTGGTTACTGTACCAAGAACTACAACACAGGTACGCAGTATATTGCAATCTGATGATATAAAGTCATGGTGCACAGTCCCTGTTGAGTTAAAACTAACCTAATCTGAATGCCAATTCAAATATAGAGCAAGCTGGCATGCAAGTTCTTGGAAAAGTATTCACACCCTTGGAAATTTTTCTTTTTATTTTATTTTTTGCAACTTCAGATTTTTGTTGCATTAATTTTTGAGAATAAATTAGATAAACCAGCACGAAGCAGTGCATTAATTATGCAGTAGAAGGAAAATTATTCATGGTTTTCACAATTTTTTGGTTATTGTAATTAAATTGTACACAAGTGGATTCCCTTTTCTAATTAGGTGACTTCTAAAGGCGATTGGCTGCACTGGATTTTTTACACAGGGGTACCACAGAAAAGAGGCCTGAATATAAATATGCACTTCACCTTTTTTTAAATTTTTATTTGTAAAACAAAAAATGGTTTTAAATAACTGATGTGTAAGGTTTAAGAAATGATCCGATGAAAGAAAATACACACCACATCATAATGTCAGGTAGAAATTAATAGGCATAACGAACTTCGTAATTAACACTATGCTAAATGTTGCCTGTCTAAAAGTGATTTTACGATCCATTCTTTGGCTGAAACGTGAATGTTGATCACGTCTAGCACAACTACTGAGGAGGTAAAGAGCTAAGGTTATTCCAAAAGACCACATTCATTAATGCCAACCCTGACATGAACCTTTTTGTGCATCATAATTTTAATCATCCAACCATTTACTGTTTCATTTTGTGGAAGCGTTTCAGTGAAGTCTTACCAGGTTGTCACTTAGTCCTATGGCTCTGTCAAACATTCATCAACCCGACTCACAATCTTTCACTCAACGTTTGATGAAAACAACCAAACTGCACAACTACAACAGTTGGCTTAAAGAAATAACTCAGTTTAATCTTCTAACTCCTCCTTTGTTCAGGTAAATTCACCTGCATAGAGGTTAAATTCTACCTGGAGCGTCAAATGGGCTACTATCTGATCCAGATGTACATACCGAGCCTGCTCACTGTCATCCTGTCCTGGGTGTCCTTCTGGATCAACATGGACGCCGCGCCGGCCAGAGTGGGTCTGGGAATCACCACGGTGCTCACCATGACGACACAAAGCTCAGGCTCCAGAGCCTCTCTGCCAAAGGTAAGCAAAGTTATCCTTTTGTTTATTGGTGACCTTTACTCCTCCTCTAAGTGAAAGTATTTAGTGAGTGAAAATTAAATGCAACATTTTTGTTTTTAAAAATGATTGAAGTGACTCATCAAAGAACAGGTCAATCAGGTCAATAAAAGTTCTAACATAATGTGAGTTGAATGCCATTGATCATTGCATATACACTCTTGACTAGAACTATATGTTTTGTACCGGGCAAAAAAAAACCTCACACAAATAATGAAGAGATAAAGATGTTAAATCAAGTTTGCCCTGCAGAATTACTTGCCATCAGCTTTTGCACACAGTCTTAATACTAATCGACGGATGCAACGCCCTTGGTCTGGCAGGTGTCTTACGTCAAAGCCATAGACATCTGGATGGCCGTGTGTCTCCTCTTCGTGTTTGCCGCGCTGCTGGAGTACGCAGCTGTTAACTTCGTTTCACGCCAGCACAAGGAGTTCTTCCGACTCAGGAAGAAGCTTAAAGAGCAGCAGCGGCAGCAGCGGCGGCAGCAGAGAGCTGTGAGTACAGCCCACCCACACAGCCCCTGGGGCAGCTGTCACCTGCTATTCACTGCGCCCAGCTATGCAAGAGCCACAGCTCAGCTGCATGCTGCACTCCAACTGGGAAACGCAGGCAGCGCTGACCTGTAATTAATTCAATTCACCTTGTTTCACTGCAGACAGTGTGTTCTCGGCTTCTTCCGGTTTTACCCCCGATAATATGAGAAGGAAAGGCAGGGATCCAACATGGGTCAAAACCATCTTGTGATGTGAATAATTCTTGAGATGGGGGTGTGGACAGCAGAGGCAGGATTCATCAACATATTTAAATATGTTCAACCTACAGAACGCTTCTGTAAGCAAGGCAGAGTGCGGGTTAGTGATTAGGGTCATGTCCTGTCTGTTCACCATCAGCAGGGAAGCAGTGACAGTAAAGGGAAGGGAAACACCACGCCAGGAAACAATGCTGCTCAGGGGAGCGCAACACAGCGGTGCAGTGCCTGTGCCAGGGTACGTCCCGACCTGCTGCCTCATTGCCAGTCACGTTCGCAGGCCGAATCCCAACAAATGTGCTCTGTCTTGTGTTTTGTGTACCTCCCCCGCAGGAAGAGGAGCTGGCGCAGCAGGGGTTTCTCCTCCAGAGCATTGGACTCTCCCTGTCCAGCGCCCCGGAAATGGACGCAACGCCGGTCTTCGCCGACTTGCCTCCCGGTTTAGGTTTTTACGAAATCCAGCGGCGTTTTGTGGAGCGGGCGAAGAGGATCGACACCATCTCCAGAGCCGTGTTCCCCATGAGCTTCCTCATGTTCAACGTGCTCTACTGGCTCACCTACAAAGTTCTACGGCACGAGGACCTCCAGTTCACTCTTTGACCACCGTGATCACGACAGGGACATTTGAACGTGAAACGTTTGCAGACTGAGCGGCATTTACTGGGCCATGCAGAGAATGTCGCACTGCATGTGCAGTACCATGGAAAAATTCTATCATACAACAAATCGTGTGGGTTTTCCCTTTTTAGTTTGTTTCTTTTGATGAAATTTGCACTTAATTTGCACTTTGTAAGCATTGCATATCAGAATACAGTGTGTGTATAACCTTCCCCTATCACTTGTGTTTGGGTGCTGTAAATTCAGGTCAGTACATTTTACATTGCACTTACTCACCTCAAGGGCCCTCCACACTTGCTGGTACCCCTGGCAAACGTGTGCAAAAGCAATAAAATTAATATTTTATTTCAGTAGCATAATCTAACTCATGTTTTATTATAAATCCAACCTTCAATGTAAGACCAAAAACTATCTCAAGCTGCAAATTCTTCACCCAAACAAACGCTTGAGGGTTTGGCGCAAAACAAAGGATGAATATTTGGAAAAGCAACTCATATCCACTGTTAAGTACGGAGGAGGGTCAGTAATGTTGTGATAGATTTCTCTAATGAAGACTTAAGACTTTGGCTGCAGGGCTGACAATAAGTGTAACATCAACCACTTTGTTCAAAACACATTTAGCACAGCTGCACATCATTTCTTTATGTAGAACCTTTTTCACCTACTCAATAGATGCACTTGAAGATTAAATTATTATTTTTTATATATATATATTGTTATGTGAAGCCATGCTGCAATGACAGAATAAATTTTAAGGTTTATTAAACATCATCCACAGGACTGCCAGTATTTGTGTGAAATTGTTATGTTTTGCCACTCAGTGATAAAACGTATGTAGCATTTATCATAACCTTTAGGTTCACTTCTGCAGCTGTGCTGGTATGGGCCTGGGAATTTTAATATACGTGAAATACCTTATGGATTTAAACGATTTGTTTTTTCTAAATGTTTGACCAGTCCGTTGGGATAATGTATCAGTTCCAAAACTAAACCGTAACAGGAACTCTTTCTGTATAAATAAATATGCACCCAGAACAATCTTTTTTTTTTTAAGTTATCAATGTTCAGTCCTGAAATATTAAAGATAAAATGTGGCTCTATAAGAGGCAAGCTTTGAAAATGTGCATCATATCTAGTTTCCACTGACACTGAACAAATCGTTTTACTTGTATTTTTATAAATAAATCTGTCTCTTGAAACCTATGGAGTTTCTTTCTTCTTCAAACAACAAAAATATTTAGTTGAGCCAAAAATAATACAGAAATCCTTTGTTGCTTTTCACTATAATAGTCCAAATACATCAGAGATTCTGAAAACCATGGCTCGCTCTCTGTCACTTTCTGTTTTAAAAGATCCTGGAAAAGAAGCAGGTCTTTACACAGACACCCGCAGTGTTACCCTAGGAGCCTCCAATTTAAAATAGAAATCCACCCTGTAAATGAAGCAGGCATATTAATATTTGATCAAAAAGTAGTCGTCACGTGCATATGTACCAAAGCAGGACAAGAAGGCTGCATGCATCAGCTTTGAAACTTGGAAGAAATAGGAAGGGCCTTGTTTTCTTTTAACAGTGAGGGGATGATTGGATGTCTAGCTACTTTCACATTAATCGTTTTTTCATCAGTTTAGCAGTAAAAAAAAAAAACAACGAAGTTGACATTTTTGACTGAACTGTGATGAACCCACTCAGCACTAAGCATGAACCTCAACAGACCGCTTTTAACCACTAGATGGCGGTATTTTCAAAACAAACATTTACACGCACATTACACACGCAACCTCAGTCCGACATACAGCCATGCTGGGTTTAGCCACTACTCTCAGGAGTTCAGCATGCAGCAAGCTCTCCCATATAGCATAATGACGACCATCTGTGAAAAAAAAAACATTAAAGTTAGAGGCAGTTTTGGGCCACTACAACATAACAGTGACCCACAAATCATGTGAAGGACGTACTGTCATATTTACATATTTTTAAAGTAATCACAAAATTGATTATTGTAAAATTAACTTCTACACTGGATGGCTTTACTTTTTCACAAATGCAACAGTGAGAAACTTAGGTGTTATCTTTAATGTAAATCAGTTTATATATATATTATATTAACAAATGGATATTTTCATAAAAGTGTCAATTTTTAAACACGAACTTAAAATCGTTAGTTTGTGACCTCCATTTTTTTTTACTTTAGTTTAATTGGAATTGTTTCAGTATCAATCTTACTTTAGATCTTCTTCTGAACGCTTCATTAAAACATAATTGAACTGAAATAACATTTGATTGGTTAACTTGCAGAGCAGTTGCTCTTAGCTCCGCCCATTACTTGTGACACATAAGGCTGACAAATGTAATAAATCCAAATTGTCCAAATCCTTCCAATTAGAAATGTTTTGGCTTTTCCATGAGATTATTTATTGGAATGCAAGCATGACACATTAAAAATATATATATTTATATACTTTATGATTTTTGAACATAATGAATTTAAGTCAAATTGTATTAGTTTTCACATTTATTTAATTATAATTAAAGAACATTTAAGCTTCGTAATTAAGACATTTAATGACATAACAACACACGGGTTTTATTCAAATTGTCAGATTAAAATATTAATTTAACAACTAATTAATTTGTTGCACCGTCTAAACAGATTCTTTTATTGTATCCAAATATTTTGGCAACACTTTTTAAAATATAATCCCCCCCTCCATAATTTTGTGTTTAAACAATATCTTGTGAGATGATCGACAACAATACGCTGCCTTTCCATTTTAGGAGAGGGGCTGTTCTCGACGTGACCCTCCACCAAAGTGTGTCCGCTGGCTGGAGACGTGGCAGCGCCTCGGGTCATATGATTTTTGGCTCTTACCCGAACCCCACCCCGATCCTTTTCCACGCTCCCAAATGTCTCTCGCTCTTTTTTTTATAATGAATGATGACAATCTAAAAAGCTGCACAAAGACAGTCTTGCAACAACAGCAAAAAAACCCAAAAACAAACAAATTTAGATTAATAATAATCCCGTGCGATCAGCTGCATAAGTTCCACGCATGGATTTTTTTTAGGAGCTGTGGCGGTCCAAAACAGTGCCATTTTTAGCCATTTACTGCTGACGTTTACAGAAGCTTCAAATAGCTTCCGTTTCACTCTGGCAGTGATTGGACCGTCCTGTGCCGTGCAGTGAGCTAACGCGCTGACTGTGGAGCACGAGCCCGACATTCTTCACTTCAATGGAGGAACAGCCCAAAGATCGGGCACAAGACAGGCAGCACCACCACAACGGAGAGGACCGCAGCTCCATCCAGCGCACGGCGTGTCTGAAACATGATCAGAGCCAGTTCCAGTGCCAGCATCAGGAAACGCAGGCGAAGAAAACAGGTCGGGCCATCCGGAAAAGTTGGCTAATGTCAGCGAGCCGACTAGCATTTGCTAACTAACGTGATTGGGGCTTAGGCTGCGAGCTAGCGGGTTGGCGTTAACGCGAATTACAAGAAAAGCTGTTAAGTCGTTCGACCGCCGGGTACTTTCATACAAGAACCCTGAAGTGTTGTTAGCAGGCTTGCTAGCTGAGGTAGCGTGACAGTTGTTGCTGCTGCTAGTTGTTTTGACACATCGGGGATTGACCTTGTACACCGGTTCCACCACCCAGTTTTCGTCTCGCTAATATGACCAGAGGGATTCGTAAACTACCCCTCCTGGTTCCGCTGTGTTCTCAGTTGCCCGGTGGTCTTTCAAACGAGCCAAAGTTTGATGTGTTTGATTCCAGCATGTCCGCATCCAGCTTAGGAAACAACACCGGCTCCGCTGGAATTTTCTCTGCTGCCATTTCCTGTCGGCCATGTTAGAATTATCAGCGCGAGCTAACGCCACACTTACCCGGCTAGTTGGAGAACGGTGTAAAAGTACGAGGCTTCCGCCGCCCTCATTTGAAACTCTTTTACTTTCTTCTAGCAGCTGCGTGGTGGAAATGACATGACGAGCAACTGTTGTGAGCTTACAGGTTGGTGGATATTAGCTAGCCTTAGCCGTCTGGCCTGCCTGGGCCCTTTGCGTGTTGTTTGGTGAGCATGAAGCCACGCAGCTGAAAAGATAGCATCGAAAATACAGTAGCTGGCAGCCACTTTTACTTGCTTATGTTTACTAAAAAGCAAAACGACTTCGTCTGGGGCCGGTTGGATAGCCTATATACAGAATCTCATGTGTGCAATGCCAACAAACATCAGGGTGGAGAAACACTATGTAGTGGGAAGTCCCATGTTGACACAGCAGTTCTCTTGTATCTGAGCAATTCTAAGGCCCAGTCAAGGTTCACTGTGAATCTATATTTATATTTTAAATATAGCTATGAGGTTTACCATCCTGCACTTGATCTTGAAGATTTGAAGCTACATAACTGGCTACATGCTATTTCAACTGTAAAAAAAAAGTCTGCCTTTTTATAATAACTGCAAACTTTTTTGAAATCTTTTTAAAAATATCTCAGTTACTGTTTTAGATTGTAATGCTAGATAAATCTAGTTTTCTCTGAATATGGAAATGTTTGATGAAATGTTTAATCCTTCATTTATTTTCTTCCCTACAGATTTCCTTTATGTTGCTTTTACCATTGCATAAACACAATGACGTGTACTATTCGTTTGGTTCCACAAAAGAATGGGGGGTTTATTATTTTCATTTTTAACACAAAATAAAACCATTTTATGAAACAAAAGAAAAAAATCAATGCATATTTTTCCTGAAAAAAATATGCATTGATTTTTTTCCCCCTACATTTATTACCATGAAAAATTATGGTAATAAATGTAGGAAAATGGCTCAAATCACTCTAATTTTATATCATTTCCAAAATATTTTTATATTCCAAGGTATGATTACTTTAGGGGAAAAACTTAATCTCAGAGTATTTGCACAAACATTTACAACTGAGTTCTTTTTTTTCTCTGCCTGTTTTTAAAACAGAAATTAGCAACCTTCTTATTGCTGCCAGCATAATTAAGGAATTTGATCATTTAGTTACAAAATATTAAGTTGTTTTTTATTTGTGTGTGGATTTTTAGATTAGCCATACGCAAATATAGAACCAAACGCTTGCTAGTTTTGGTAGTCCTCAATCAACAACATATTCAGTGTGCTTCCTTTGACTTTTCAACCTTTAAACCATCAGAATAGTGGGTAGTGAGGAAAAAATTCTATATTTTAGTGATGTGCCATGATTTTTGTAAATGTTCCTTGCTTAGCATCACACTATTTCCTTTTCTTTTGGGGAGGACATTCTGATCCTTGCTAAACCATGCGGCCCCAATGAAAATGGTCAAAGTGGATACAGATTGATACAAGGCTGGTGTAAAATGTGTGAGTTGTGAATGACAACTCACTTTTGCACCCCCTTAAAAAAAAAGGAAAAAAAAAATAATAGTACAAAATAGCGCTACTCTTAAGATGTGTTTTTTTTTTTTTTTTTTAACTTATTCTTGAGATGGAGTCAGGAGAATGTGACTTTAATAGTGTTCAGCATTCGTATCACAATGTTGTCTTATAATACAAACACAACCAAAGCCAGAAAGGTAAAGAAGAAATGATCAGTGCCCCATTTCCGTTTAACTCATTTTGTTTTTCCTTGCAGGCAGTAAAAATGTAATCATCAGCGACGAGGAGGGGGAGAAAAATCCACACCTGCTCTACACTGTTGGTATGTCCCATTCCTCCAGCAGCAATGGTAATAGACACATAAGTAACCCAAATGTGAAGCAGAAAGGGCCACAGAAGCACTACACCTCTGTTCAGAAAGTGAGCAGCAAATTCTCCGAGCATAAGAAGAATATGGACTTAAAAAATGACAAGGAGAAGGCGCTGGATTTGAGTCATTATGAGATTCAGCCTTCAGACAAGAAAGACTCTGCTTTGCTTCAGAACGGGCTTGTGAATTGTGGCCTCATCATCAACGGCTATTCCAGTAAAGACAATGACGGAAGCGGCTCCGAAGGCGGATACACCACCCCGAAGAAGCGAAAGAGCAGATGCGGCAACACCAAGAGTGCCGATAATGTGACGAGAGACAAAGAGAGAGACATGCAGTCCCGCAACACTACGCAGGATCCGGGAGCCTCGAGTGTCGAGATGCCCGAGAAAGGAACAGCGTCCAGACTTGACGGCTTCCGGTCCAGCTACAAAGCAGAAGCTCAGACGACGGCGAAACGGGCCGTCGCGTCAGAGACTTATGTCGCCGAACCTCAGAGGAAAACCTCTGAAGGTAAAGCAGCTGGCACGTTTGGTAAGAAAGCGGAGGAAAAGCACAAGGGCAAGCTTTCCTCGCCTTCAAAAGAGGACTCATGGACTTTGTTCAAGCCCCCTCCTGTATTTCCTGTGGACAATAGCAGTGCTAAAATAGTTCCCAAGATCAGTTATGCAAGCAAAGTAAAAGAGAACCTCAATAAAGTAGCTCAAGGCGGAGGAGAGGCAGCGCCTCCTCCTGTGAGACTGTCCCAGGTCCCCATGTCTGCTATGAAAACTATCACCTCGGCTAGCTTTACTAACGGTCCTGTTCCTGGGAATGGGAACGGCTGCCCGTCTGTGGGCACCTTCTTTGCTCCTGCTGCTAGTTGTGTTCAATCAGCTCTGTCTGTCCCAAGTGGCGAGAATGTAGCATCTTCTTTGGAAAGTAGCTGTAGCTCTACGACGAGTCCCGTAGACGGCGAGGCGAGCGAGCTCAGAAAGTGTACTGTTTTAATCTACCCTTTAAATATGCAACCCGTGCTCCCGAGCGCTCGCCACCTCGACCCACCGGCTGCTCAGACAAATCAGAAAGCCCTGGGGGACATCTTCCAGAACCAGTGGGGGCTCTCCTTCATCAATGAGCCCAACCCGGCCCTCGACGGAGGGAACGGGTTCGTGCCTGCCGAGGACCAGACTTCTGTGACTTCTCACAACGGGAGTCAGCCTGTCCCAGCCAAGGTTGCCCAGCCCCTCTTTGACATTAGCCCATTTCTAGAAGCCGAAGCTTTTTCTCAAGACGCGGAGAAAAGGACTTGTGCCCCCTGCCAAGTATCCAGTGTTTGCTCTCCTGCTAGCACGGCGAGCGAGGAGGAGACCAAGCTGCAGCCAAGTGTCCAGGAAAAGACGAAAGTGGAGCTGAAGGGAGTGGGTTCTTCTCTGCTGGCCCCCAGTAAAGACAACGGTGCTAAGCCTGCAGTGGGCCAGCAGACCACTGTGCTGTTCGGTTCCTCTAAAGAACAGATCCACCCAAAAGACGTTGGCAGGAGGTCCAGCTGGGGTTCCTTTGACCTTAAAGCTGCTGTCACCTATCACACTAAAGGTAACTTTCACTCTGGTCTGGTCATTAGTGGGTGGGTGGAATGGACTTAGACTTTTATCGCAATATTTTGTGGCAGTATTGTGACAATAAGCTTATACTAGAAAATATTCATTATCCTTTTTAGGTTACTTTATGACTGAATGCATGGCACAGCATTTGTAGCCATACAAACACAAACTGTTCATGAAAAATATTTCTATTTACAAGGTTCTTCAAGATGCTGCTTAGTTAAATAAGTAAAATTTATATCACTAAGCTGCATGCAATAACTGCATTTAATTGTATTTTTGAATTCACATTTATTCATACTCTTGCGAAACAACAATTGATTAAAATAGTAAATATAACATTTCCGATGATACTGTCAGTTTTGTTATTTATCGATGACTGAAATTTATTACAACAACAATAAATCAAAGTTCTGATGAGTAATTTATCACAGTAAACAATATGTCCTCCCATAGTTTCACCCCTTAGTTACAAAGCATGAGTTCATTTGTTGACTCTTTAAAAAAACTTTAAGAACTTTTAGATGATCATAGTTCCAGTATGGAGAACTAAGAAATTTGATCTTAGTCATTTCTAAGTTAATTTCAAGTCTTAAGAAAGAAAAGTTACTTTGGAAATTATCTTATTCTGCTCAAAGATTTATTATAATTTCTTAGAATGCACCTGGAAAGAAATCTATAAATATAGCTTACATTTTGAATGTGTTTTGATGTTTGTCAGATTAATGGTAGTTTTTGAAAACAATTTTAGCTAGATATTAATCATGCTTTTTATAGAGCTCACACAAGCTCAATGAAAGGCTTGAGAATATTTGTTTGCATATATTTAATTTGTATGTCTCACTTGGTGAATTGAGTTACTGAATTCTTTTCAACTCCTTTCTAATTCATTGAAAGGATCTGCACCTGTATTTCAAAAAACATTGTTGGAGCTGTTTGTTGTAAATGTAGGAGAGAGAGAAAGAGGCGTCGGTGTTACACAGCTCTGCAGTGAAACAGGATTTTACCAATGTTTCAACAAAATGATTTATTTTTAACTCTTTCGCTTCTTATTAGTTGTCACCATGGCTTTGCAGAGAATGGTGACTTTCACCTTTTTGAATATGAAACTTACAGATTACCAATGTTTTGTAATCCACTCTGTCCCAGAAAGCACAACATTGGAGTCTTGCTTTTTAAATATTTTTAATGATTTAAAAACTAATCAGATTAGGTAATTTTGCTTAAATAGGTTCAGCTCTAACTTTTTATTATTTGCCAATTGGAATGAACAGCTTACATGATGAACAAGAGCTTCTTCATGGGTACTTTGATTTTCATCTAAAACGTCCACACCAAAGAGTAATGACAGAATGACCATACATGTGATTGTTTTGTTGGTTGGCTTTTATATTTATAGAAAACTTTTTGGGGCTATGAACTGATGTTCCTTTTCTCCTTGAACAGAAATGGAATCCATTTTCAACTTGCAAAAACAAGGTAAGGGAACCGTTTTTATATCCTCACTTCTTTATTTTTTTTTGATTGCTACAAAAAATCATTTCAGTGGATGAGTAGCTGTATAGCATCACATGATGGTGATCTGATTTGTTATAACTCAACAGTAATCCTAATCAAAACTCCCGTTGAAGTGATGAGCGTAATCTATATCCTGCTGGTGAAATGGCTCAGTAGTCGTGCTCAGTAGTCGAGCTGGCAGCGCAGACTGTTACAACACCAAATGTTTTCAATGTTATTGGCAGTTTTAAAAACAATGATTGTAAAATGTATTTGCGTTACGATCATTTGTATAGTTCTGCTGCTGTCGTGTTTCTGACTGTCTGCCTCTTCTCTGCTGTAGATCCAAAAAGAATAGTGTTTTATGATGAGACCAAGGACGGACCTGATCAGTGAGGTAGATCATCTCCAGTGCTTACTGTCTTCTCCTCTGGGTGCTGCAGTTATCTACCTTGGAAAAAGTAAAAAAACAAACAAAAAAAAACACACAAAAAAACAAATCCTGTTGGATAAAGTGACAACTGTGAAAACACTGATAGCTAAGCATGATTTTCCTTGGAAACTCGGGTTTATTGAAACTTTCTTTTTTTTTTTTTTTCCTTTGGGAGCGCACCAGACAAAACACACACACACATGCAGACACATTCTGGATGGACATTAAAAAGGAGTTGATCGGTGCCTCTCCAACACGATGAATGGACCTTAAACGACTTCTAGCTGTGGTAGTCCTCGTCTCATGGCTTTTAAGGGATAATGTTCGGGAGTTCACCAAGGCAGGTGTCTCGGACCGCACCTCCTTAAGCCTTTATCCTGTCAAACTGTTGGGATGCCTCTGTCGGTTTCTTTCTTCACTCATTCAAATGAGTTCACTATAGATACGTTGGACGTTCCACACACAGATCTGTGCTTGAATTAGTGGTGAAGGAAAGGAGACGATTGTTAAAGAAATGCCTTCTGAGTTGTAGAGTAAAGGTGTTTTGCAACCCTGTTAAGGCGGCCATGGACTTTTGTGAGGCTCCATCCGGGAAGGGAGAATCTTGTCTTAAAACTCTATAAAAAAAACAAAAAAACTACTCAGAGTCCTGAAATTTTCTATGTACCGCAGTTGTTTTTATGCTGTTTCAGCTGACCTAACACAAGTATTATTTGCATCGCCGTTAGACCCCAGAGATAAGGTACTGACGTGCCGAATTTGAAGGAAAGCCACGCCCCTTTACAATGTTTGTTCACTTGGTGTGCTGAACGGTTTTAACATTGGGTCTCCGCTATACTGCTTATGTTGAAGCCTTCATTACATTTCACTTTAGATGGTCATAAATTATCACAAAGTTTCTTTAAATTCAAAATCATGCACACTTTTTTTTTTTTTTTTTCAGAGTTTAGGAACAAACAAGTATTGCTTCTGATTGGCTGTTCTGTTTTATTCAGCTGCAACACTCAGGATATCTACAAACATTTTCTGTTCAGTTAAAGAAAAATGTTTCATTTTACATTTGTTTTCATAGCATGTTTTTTTTTCACTAAATGACTGTTTTTTCTTTTTGTTTTGTTTATTTTTTATTTTTTGCCCCCATGTTTACTGGTATACTTGAGTCCCTTTTCATTGCCACAGAAACACAAATAACTCATTTATCGCAACCTTCATCTTAGGTATCAAAGTAACCGCTTTGTCAAAAAAAGAAAACCGTTTCAGAACGTTCGAAGGAGGTCTTCAAAGTTTTTGCAAGTCGGTGTGCAATACCTCCACGGAAAATGAGTTTTGTTGAGCTACAAAATCCTCATCAGAGACGCTTGCGTAGCCTGCAGTTTAGTTTTTCAAATCTATTTCGGTTGCATTTACTCTTTTGTTGCACATTTTCTTCACTTGTAAAGTCTACCTACATCTAGTGATTCTAGGAGAAGGGTTTGGTCAGTGGGGACATCTCCAGAAAAGGATGTCACAAAGGAGGTGAAAGTGGGCGGGCTCGGGGGTGGAGGGGTGGGTTCCTCTTGTCTAGAAAATCTAATTTGGTTTAATCGTGAATTAATAGCACTTTATGTTAACAAATTACCTTTATCTTAACTAGAGAAAATTTATATGTAACACTAGAAATACTCCTTAAAAAGAATGGCTCTGGGCTGTTACTTTTCAGAAAGAAAATATATATAGTTGCTAAATACAGAATAATTAAATATAACTCAGGTAGTGTTGATGAAGCCATGAGTATATTCAATGTTTTCTTTTTCTTTCTTTTTTTTTTTTTTTTGCCAATTGGCCCCTGTCATGCAATGTTCTCATACTGGAAATGCTGAATTGGAGTCCTACTTATGTCTCATGCGATATTCTGGAAACACACCAAATAACTTACTTTTGACTAAGGATGTCCGTTTTACTTTGGGCTCATGTTGTGGGATTTTATCTGTTTAGAAAGCACATTGCATCTCCGCTCTGTTTTCTTTGTAATCACCTGCTGGTTCATTTCCGCCTCTTGTGTTTTCTTCCTACCCTCCTAACAGGCCTGAGTGCGTCTTCAAACCGTTTCCTCAGCAGAATGTGGAATTTAGTGTACAAGTTGGATTCCCATTTTACTTCCATACCCAGATTTAGTATTTTTCTTTTTTTTTCTCAGCCCATTTATTTTTTTATTTTTTGTGCATCGTCCGACGTCCATCTTGTCTGGGCCTGTAACAAAATGCAACACGGTTGTAAAAGGGTTTCCTGATGTCATACTGATGTATCAGAAAGTGCTCGCCAGTAGAAGCACTGTCCCTCTCCCACCTGTTGCTGCATACTGCTGGTAGAAAGCTGGGGCTTACACTTACAAGAATGACGTGTATTTTTCGTTTCGTTTTTTGTGTTTTTTGTTTTTCAAATATTTCTGGATGTTTAAAAAAAAAAAGAAAAAAAGTCAAAATGTATCTTTTTGAACAGGCAGTTTTAAAACGAGAATAGAGTTATTGGTTTTAAATTGGAGACGTTTTGTTTTGGTTTTGGAGGACGGGGTGGTTTCTGCCTAAATACCACGCCGTGATGTGAATGAAGCTCATCGCTGCGCTGCTCTCCTATTGAGGATGACTGAATATACTCTAACAAAAAGCCAAACAAAGAAAATTCCATTTGAGGCGTGTTTAATCCGGTAGCATTACTTTGTGTGTTTTTTATCACTTTTATTATTTTTGTAGCTCTCAGCTTGCTACAGTTTAATTTAATCTGACTGCACATAAATCCCTGGCAAATTAACACAATCAGGTTGACGCAAAATGGTTCAGACTGAAGCTATTAAAAATTGTGCAGATTTTTCTTGGCATAAATGTAGGTAAGCAGGGTGACGGAAAGAGTTTTCTGCTATAGTACAATAAATTGACCCCTTTTCGTTTCTTCTTGTCTCCCTCCCCCTGTTTGTTTGAAGAAGACTGCATAGGTTTGGGGGAAATCAGAGCTGCTGTTTCTTGCATTGTAGCCTGCTGACCAAAAAAAACAAAAACAAAAACAGGTTCTTACAATGGAGTAGATGGTTAATCAGTAATTATAAAAAGGCAGGGTGGAGAGTGAGGGGTTGGGGTGGGGAATCCACTGCCAGCACGTTGAGATAGAAAAAACATAATCATGTGGAGTTTCTGTTTCCCTTCCCTCCCCCTCAGGATGTGCAATCACCTCTAGGATGCTGATGAAGGCTTCCAGGTTGAGTGGCTTGATGTTGGTTGGTTGGTTGGTGTGTGTGAGCTGCAAGTTCTTCCTATTATATGCAAGTTTCTCTTATATTAATAAAAAAAAAAAAAGCGTGCCCCTTCTCTTGGGTGTATTTCGTTCAGGTGCCTGTGTGGGGGGAAGGCCTGGGGAGGGAGGAGAAAAACTACAGCAATTTTGATTGTTTAAAATCTGCTTCCAGCATATATCTGTGCCATTTTTATTTTTAATTTTTGTGTAAAAGAAAAATTGAAATAAGTGCAACTTTTTGTTACAGTTTTCTTCCGGCTAATATCTTTATTTCTCCAACATAGCCACACCTGATTGAGCATTTATTCTTGCTTTTTTTTTTTTTTTTTTTAATGCATCTTTATTTTGATGGCTTATGTTCAAATTTCTGCAACTTGAAGCCAAAATCACTGCAAATGGTGACGGATTGCTGTCTGCTGATGTGTTCCAGATGTCTATCAAATTAATGTCTAAAGTAGCAAATGATTCATTTGGACTCATTTTAACAAGTTAATATTTTAACATGTTTTTGAAGAATTATTATTTTTTAGTTGTAACCTGACTTGTCCGTAGATGCACAGTTAAGATGAGACTGAAACAAGTAAATCAAATGGAATCGAGACGTTTCATCTTTTTAGATGTTTTTTTTTGTTTTTTTCTTTTTTTTTTAGTTGTTTTGAGGCTGATGTATCCCGTTGTTGCCCCCTTCTAGCACCAATGTGAAAGCTGCGTTTCCCAGCAGGTTTTCTACACGTTGCTTTTATCGGTTTGTCCAAACACGTGGCAGAATGCGAAGCGTTGAAATACACTGCATCTAGAGTTTCTTGTAATATATTTTTGATTTGTGACGCCATTGATCTCAGTTTTTATTTTGTTTTTAAGAGGCTAAATGTGCAGTTCTGGATCTCTGGATCTGCTTTTGCCAAAGGTACACTACTTGGATATTGAGCGAGAAGAGAAGGGTGGGGAGGGGGGAAGGTGTAGCGGATGATGTCAGAGCCAGCTTCCTGACAACCTGCTGAGTTCAGAGAGTTTTTTTTCTTTTCATATGTGAACAAAAATCACTTGTGTAGCAGCTGACTGTCACTTTGCGAACATTGTTATACTGAGTGTGAGCGAGAACTCTTAAAGGGGAAAACAACTACCGAAAGTGCTGCTTTTTTTTTTTTTTTTTTTCCCTTCTCCCCCATTGGTCATCTGTGATGGGAAAGACTGAACGTGGTGTTTGTACTCTGATTAAAATTGTCCCTCTTTCATGATGTCATTTTCTCATACATGTTTTGTTGTTGTTAATTTTGGGGCTTTTTTTTTAATTCAAAGCAAAGGGTGCTGTTTCAGATTCCAAGTAAAGTGAGCAAATGAGGTTTCAGTCACAGAGGGAGACGCAGGCTGGATGTTCGTTTCTTTTGTCGTCCCCTCCTCTCACGTTTTTTGTTTTGTTTTTTTTCCCCCTTCCCCATCTTTGTGCCCCTGAAGGCAACAGCATTTCTTTCTCAAATGTCTTACAAGTTGGCATTTCTGTTTTTAAATGAACAGTCTGATTATTTAATTTCTTTTATTTTGAATTTAACAAGTGTCACTTTTTTTTTAAAGCATGATAATAACCCTCAAGTTCCAAACAATGTAATAGTCAATTTAAAAGTAATAATAATAAGAAAAAAATTCCTGTGTTCACTGTTTTAGTTTCCATTAAAATGTCAGATTTTGATGATGAATTTGATGCTTTGTCATTTCTGTTCTTGGCACCACACTGGATCACTGAATGAATACCTAATTCTGAGTAAAAGGGCATATAAACTCACCGATTGTGTAAAACTGCATCATTTTAACATTTGCATTAGTTAAAATTGGTTATCTGCAAAAAAGGTTTTTAACATTAATAAAAACAAAATAAATCTGTTAGAAACCTAATTCTTGTTTTGAGTGTGTGGCTTTGAAAAGTGCGTTTAAGATGACGTGCCAATGCAAACGTAGTGCTGTGATATTTGACTCAGGAAGTTACCTATAATAAACATTTTAAGAAGATAAGTTTTTGTTAAAACGTTCTGATGGACCATCAAAATTCTGTATAGTTGGACTGTGAAATAAAAATTATACAATTGATTTACAAATAAAAGTAGGAAATGTAGCGTTTACTAATTTGTCAGAAGTTTAAAACCGGATTAAGCAAACTGGTTTAGTCACCATTTGATAACTGGAATGTTATTAGGTAGTGGTATAAATATGTTTTTTTTTTTTGGGTCAAAAGCAGACTATTTTAAAGAGAGTGGCCTCAAACTTGTTTCTGAAAAATGCTTAAAAAGGAAGAAATTGTTTGGCTTCCTGTTGAAAATTCAAACATGGGATGTGCCAAGACCTCCTGGCTCTGATTGGTTGTTTCTAACAATTTCTGTAGATGGGGGAAGACCACAGAGAGAAGGCAGAGAAGCTCAACCTTTGTTTTTCACAGGTGTCTCAAACTGTACTGTCACGAATCACAGATATGAAAAAATGAAAATGACATTGTGAAGTTACATGTTGCAACTTGCATGAAGTGAAAGTTCTGGAAATGCAAACCAGAAGTGAGAGCGTTTCATAACTTTGGGTACTTTGCCGGGATGGAAATATTTTACATGTTTTCATGACATTTATCATCTGCTAAAGAGTAAAAAAAAAAAAACAGATGTATTTCACAGCTCATTGGCTCAGCCTGGAGCTATTTCTGTTCTCGTCTTTATTGTCATTCTCCAACACAATAAAGGAAGGAAAGCTTGGGGTAGATCAAAGTCATAAGCTGCTCTGCTACAGGGGGTAAAACAGAAGTTGCTCCAACAGTCGAAAGTTCAGTCTGATTTGACATCACAGTACAACTCTTGTTCATAAGTTGGATCCATCTCATCTCATTTGTGTCTCTTCCCATTAGAGAACAAAATAATTCAGATATTCAAAAAAAAGCAGTATATGCTGTTCATCTGTCCACACATTCAATTTAAAGAGCAACAGCGACGTTATTCTGGCTTTAAATGTGGTGTTCAGCGTATCAGTTCTTGTTTTGAAACTATTTTTCTGGTTCTAGTGGTCTTTATTTGATAGTAGTAGTTGTGAGAGAGGAGGAGACATTAGTGAGACGCAAATCATTCTACCAAACTGAAGCGACCCTGTTGTGCAGCTTTTCTAAAGCGCTTTGTCATCACAAGAAGCCATGAAGGTCTGATTCTTGGTCGAGGACGCCCCCTTGTGGTTCAAGATTTAAAAGGGCCTCTTCTAATCAATTGGGCAAAAGTTATGGCTGCAGAGCAAAAGTTGTTCAACCACTTCGAGTAAATTAGATGGAAAATAACTCAACCCTGAAATTTCAGTCAGAACTTTGTTTTCAGGATCATTTAGAGATTTGGGTCCTGCAGAAAATCAGTGGAGAAAAAAGAAAAGAAAAAGGGATAATAAAACATTCAATCTTCTTATGCTTTTATTCAATGTTTGTTCAAACAAGAACAACATATAGAGAATATTATATTCATAATGTTTTGCAGCTGGATCATATCAGGTGGTTTGGCAGTGTCTCCCCCTGCTGGACAATGATTTAATACACACTGAATCACAATTTAGGGGTGTGTGAGACCAATATGAGAACAGTTCAAATCATTTAGAGTTATGAAATCTTTCCATCTGTTTACATTTTATCTTAGTAAAATAATCTAAAACAGGAAACGGTGTTGAATCAGTCTGATTTTGTTTTTTTAGGCTTTGTAATTTTGCTACCAGCTAGTGTAAATTTTGCCACTAACCAATTTAAACACATCAATGGCGCCTTTGCTGTGCAACACTACAAAACTGGTGATGGGAGAGAAAGACGTCTGAGTGCTGCATTGACCCTGGGAGCGCATTTTTCTCCCCTTTACCACGTCCACGCGCGCGTGTGTGTGTGTACACACAGTTTCCACTCGTTCCGTACAGCTGAGCTGGTGTTTACCATCACCCCCTCAGATTCACCTTGATTGCTGCGCACTTCACCGAGGCCACATGAGGCCTGATGCACTCACGCTCCGAGAAATTGTCCAGTGTGGGAAGGTCGGTAAAAGGTTTGATCTCTGAATCAACAATTTTGTCTGAGGAGATTCGGAACAAGATGACAGAGTCCTCACTCCGGGGCTGAGCTCAGGGTGACCTTTCAGCTAAAAGTAAGTTGCAATGAGAGAAAACAGTGGCGTGTGAAATGAAAAATGGATGGTAAAGTCTACAAAAGTTCCCCCGTTTATTACTTGGATAAAATATTATATGCTACCGGTAAAGCTTTGCACGTGTCACACCACCAGCATAAATCACTTTAGCGGGATTTTAGGATAACTCAAACCCAACTTGGAACAGAGGCGGGTCGAGCGCTCAACAATTGTTCTAAACTTCAACATGTTTTCACTGGAGTAAAAGTAAAAATTAGCTGGAAAGAAATGACTCGATTAAAAAAAATGATCTGGTTAAAAGGCTGCTCCAAGTACAGAGTGACTGATCAAAACATCAGTTATTTAGTATTTTAAAATGACATCATCAGGATGGACCAAAATAGAAAGTTATGTGGAATTTTAAGGACTGACATAAAAATTATTTATACGAGTAATATAATTACAAAATAATAAAATCAGACCAAAAAAAAAAATCCAAAATCAATTTCTTTTAATTTTTACTCAAGTAGAGTAGTGAAGAGATGAAACAATGAAATCACTCAAGAAAAAGTCAAAGGTAGAGCATGATAAAAATACCCCTAAAGGCAACATTTCCCTAAACGTTAACATATCCAAACAAATGTAACTTCCAGGACTGCTCTAAATTTCGCTCCATGCATCTTATCAGCTCTGCTCAGCTTCCATCAGCCTCCATGCCGTTCCCACTGCATGTCGCATTTTCATTTTCAGTGACTACTGTGTGTTGATTTCTAAAGGTTTCTCCAATATTTTTATTCACAATTTTCTGGACAGAACATGACTGTACCACCACATTGGTGCCATTAAATTGCGTCATTTTGAATGCGTCCCAAACGTTCAATGCACAGCTCAAGTAAAAAGTACTTTTACTTTCTCCTATGTGGCATGTCAGTCGGATGAAATCTATCAACAGCAACATTAAATATGCTCATTTTTTGTGACCAGCGGTCGTCTTTATCGCCGTTTCTTCTACAGTTTTTGCTCTCACTGATGTTGGCGCCGCTTTGCTTTTCAGCAGAAAGGTGATGTATGACCTTTCTCAGCTGCTCTGATTGAGAGCTGTTTCACAGAGCCATTTTTCTGCTGCAACTCCGTCCCAGACACACACACACACACACACACACACACACACACACACACACACACACACACACACACACACACACACACACACACACACACACACACACACTTCTCAGCGAATCCTTCCAGTGCTGTTCATTCTAGACACGCACAGAAAGCAGAGGCAGCGTATCACCCCAACTGCGGCTTCTCCTTCTCCCGTGATGAATATATCAGCTCTGACCAGACGGGCCCTGACATTCAGTGATCTGTAATGATCAGCATAAACCTTGAATCATCAAATGTCAGCCAGAAGTACCTGCTGAAGTTTGCATCTGTTCCGAGGGTACGTCACGGGTCGTGGTCCCCGCGTTCACCCTGAAGTTCAAACACTGAGCCCACACTGAGCGCGCTCACTGCGAGAGCGCTGAGGTGGAAGTGTTAAAACGAGGCGAGAGCAACGGGACAGAGCAGAGTGTAAAAAGCACAGGGTGTAGAATAAAATCAAGTGCATGGCTCCCACTGAGCATTGTTCACAGAGTACAAGTTTTGTCGTTTATGAAAACGAATGTTCATATGTTCTGTATATGCAGGAAAAGACACCAGCAGGTGTTCCTCTCAGAGTCCTCATCCTTCTTGCTAAGAAACTGCCAGTTCATCATCAAATATAAAGCTTTTAAAATTGGCTACAATAAAACAGCACTGTTCATCCACGCTGATATGTGTAATTTGTACAAAAATATGTTCTGCTTTGCTAAATTTTGCGCAGGTTCTTCTTACCTGTGACATTTCACAAACAAATATCGTTTTTCTTGATCAGATTGTTTCAGAATTCCTCTTTTTAATATTCTGTGAACATCAATGTATGAACAGCAGCTGGATTATTTATTAGTTACTTCTACAATTTGAATTGTTTGACATAAATTTTAAAAGCAGTGCTCCATAAAGTTCAAACCTGATGTTTCCATACACTGGATTAAAACGTACGTTGCCATTTTCACTACTTTTCACGACACAGAAGTGAAGTGACTGTATTTACTCTATTTTGTTTTCACTTCAAAGTTTTATTGTTCGTTTTATTTGGCCGCTCGGGCCCGATTTGTAAAAGCAGCAGAAATAGCAAAACGTCCAACAGGATGACTGACTTATTCAGGTTTTCTGCAGAAATAATTCATTTTAGTCATTCTAACTGAGCTCAAACTGGAAAAGTTTAGTCTGATTTAGTGTAAGACAGTGTGCAAACGTTTGTTTTCGAATGGAGTAAAACATTTTAGTACCCATTTTTTTCACCGTGCAATTTTTCTGCTTGAGACGACCATAACGCTCGCTCAGATACGAGGCCCAGACTGAAGCCTGCATTAAATATGCTTTGACGTCTGCCATCGCTGACGCTCTAACCACATCCAGCTCCTGTCAGCTCAGTCAGACATGCCCAGTTCCAGACGCCACGAGGCATTTCAGGATACGAAGAACAAGGC